AAAAAGATTTATTTATTTATTATGTACAGCACCATAACTCATTACGGATGGTTGTGAGCCACCATATGGTTGTTGGGAATTGAACTCAGGACATCTGGAAGAGTAGCCAGTGCTCTTAACTGCTGAGCCATCTCTCCATTCCCTATTGTTCTTAAAGAAGATTTGAGTTCCATTCGCAGTATCCAATTGGTAGCTCATAACCAACTAAAACCCCAGTTCCAGGGAATCCACCCTATGAGGGCACATGGTGCACAGACCTATATGCAGGCAAAACATTTATATACATAAAATAAATACCAATAAGCATACCAAGCCAGGACCCTACAAAGCCTTCCCCACCAGGACAGCTACCTTGAACTTCTGGAATCGAACTTTGTGGATGGGATGGACAGTCTCACTGTGTTTCCAAGGCTGGTCATGACGATGGAATTTAGGTTACAGTGGAACTCTAGCTCCTCCTGGCTTATCCTCCCAAATGCTAGGATCACATATGGGCCCCCATGCTTAGCCTCAACCATGCTTGTTATGAAGTGGTCTCCAGTCAAGAAAATGTTAGAAGTCTTAAGTGGTAGCTGGGTGTGGAGATACATCCCAGCACTCAGGAGATAAGGCAAGAGGATTTCAAGTTTCAGTCCATCTTTGGATATAGCAAAGCCAGGTCTAAAAATCTTTTTTTTTTTTTTTTTTTTTTTTTTTTTTTTTTTTGAGACAGGGTTTCCCTGTGGCTTTGGAGGCTGTCCTGGAACTAGCTTTTGTAGACCAGGTTAGTCTTGAACTCATAGAGATCCACCTGCTTCTGCCTCTCGAGTGCTGGGATTAAAGGTGTGCACCACCACCACCTAGCTGACCAGGTCTAAAAATTAAAATAAAACAACTAAAAGCCAACGTGGAATAATGCTAGGCAGATAACCCATACGTGTCTTTCCCCACACAACAAGTTGCTAAGAGCAGTGTGAGACTGTCCATCTACATTGCAAGTTTGCTTTTCTCTAAGAAGGGTGTCTTTTGTTGTGAACAATCTTTTGTTAAGAGCAATAACAGAGTAATCATGAAAATAAAGCCAGGCCTGGTGCAGCACTTGCCTGTCTACAATCCTAGCCCTTGGGAGGTTGAGGCAGAAGGAATGCTGAGGCTGGCTGCTCGCCAGGTCTAGCTCCAAACTCAGGGAAACCCTATGTGGAGGAAGTAAGACATGCAGCCGTAGGGTAGGACACCTGGCACCCCTCTGGTCTCTGGGAACATGACTGAGTGCGTGCTCCTCACCTCCACATGCACACACACAAGTTGAGAATAAAAATCAAATCTTAAGGAAGAAAAAAAAATGTACATTTTAAAAGAGGGCCGGAGGGGCTGGAGAGCTGGCTCAGTGACTGAGGACACTGGCTGCTCCTGCAGAGGACCTGGGTTTTCTTCCCAGCACCCACGTGGTGGCTCACAACTGTCTGTAACTCCAGTTCCAGGGGCTCCAACACCCTCTTTTGGCCTCTGCAGACACTGTGCACACAGTGTGAAACACAGTAAAAAACACAGAAGCAGGGATAAGGGAGTCCCGTGGCAGGGCTCTTGCCAAGTATGGGCACAGCCCCAGGTCCCATTCCTAGCACCAAAACCAAAAACCAAAATCCAGAAAGTATGTATGTAGCCCTCTCTCACAATTCTAGGAACATGTGACCTCAGAGAAAATAAGATTAGTCTGGAAATCCATTTTCTATTCTCCAGGACTGACGTCTTGAAGAGGCTTCCAGAACGTATATTCTAAATATGACACGTAAAGAGAACCCTATGTCCAAGTCTATGTGGTAACTTAGAATCTTTTCTTTTCCCAGCATGCACCACATCCCTACATTCCCAGCTCAGAGCTGCCTAGTGAGGCCATTTGCCCTAATTACACTTGTATAGATAGTGTTATTTCACCTCATGGGATAACAGTTAAATTGGGTTCTGAATCCTAGCCTTTTACCTTCCAACTCCTCAGTTTCTTCATCCAGAAAATGGGTATGAAATTAACACCAGACTTATCTGGTGGTGAAGGATGAAATGCCACAAGGCATGCCAGGTCCTGAATACCTAGGTCATGGTGAGTATTTAGTAACCCAGATCCAATCCCATCAGCAGGGTAAGAATTTGGGGAAACCTTACTATTACCTTTACAGATGAGTCATATGGGGCTCAGCCTGTGACTTGCTGGCAATGAAACAAAGACAGAAGTAGGTATGCCTAGTGTTGTCTTCAGAATGGGCGGGGCCTCAACCTGCCTAGTGTTATCTTCAGACTGGGCGGGGCCTCGGCCAAACCACCAGTTTGCTTGGCTTGGAGGGAGGAGCAAGAGCTAAGCTTCGCATCTGTACACACACACACACACACACACACACACACACACGTGCACACACACAGTGCACAACACACGTGCACACACACACGTGCACACACACGTGCACACACACGTGCACACACACACGTGCACACACACACACGTGCACACACACACACACACACGCACACACACACACACACACAGCCCACAGCTCACCCATCGTTGGAGCAGGCACGGGATGATGCTGAAGTGGTAGGGCCCATCTTCGGATGTATTAGTCCCACCTATCAGACTCTACGCCTGACCTCAAATCACCTTTGTTCTTCAAACACAAGAAGCCCAAGGCAGAGGGTGGCTTTTGAGAGCCATCTTCCAGTCTTACATCCCTCAGTTACTAGCTATTGCCCATAGGGAGCTGTCAACCTTCGTTTCCCCCATTCTAACGAAGCTATTGGTCTCTAGCCTGCCACTTATCACCAAGATTTAATGAGAGCAGAGCTGACTCTGAGTGAGCAGGGACACACGTCCCTCACTGCTCTGAACTCTGTTCACATGCAGCCTGTTGTATCTGAAGATGGGGCGGGGGGGGGTGTCTGTCCACTCCAATTCAATGAGTACAAGGAGGCCTTGGGAGGAGATGCCTGGCTGTGAACCCAGGAGTCTGGAATCAGTGTCACCAGCCCTGTCTCACCTTGCTTTGCCTGTATACACACTTGGCATATGAAAATTTCTCCTGAAGGGGGCAGCACTTAGCTATGTGGTGCCCAGAAGATTGGCAAGACTGGTCTCATCTCTCCTCTATCCACCCATCCGTAGTCAGCCACCTCTCCCTGTGCTGGTTATGGTGACCTCCAACCCCTCCCTATAGACAACCCCCAGGTGACTCAATGAAGCTAACCTGTGCCTGTTGGGGGCATTTGCAGTGCAGTTACTGGGAGGTTCTGTCTTCCAGTGGCCCTGCCCACCACACCACAGCCAGAGAGTAGACAGCATTCCAGCCAGACAGGCTCTTCTTACTAATGAGCAGTGAAATGCGGGCCTGTCAACAATAGCCTCGAAGCTGCTTGCAATGGCCAACTTGTTGCTAATGAAGGCCAGAAGGAGATGACTAGACAAACCAGACCTTGGCTTACAGAGCACATCCCAAACCCCATGTACATGTGTGCACACATAAACAAGTCAGAGTCAACACCCAGGTCACCCCCTCTAGGACACAACTGGGTGAGAACAAACAGCCCCAGGTCTCCATAGATAAGCATAAGCTGCTTATGGATAATTGAGCTTATTGTTAGTGTCGATGTCTAAAGCCTGAGATGAAATTCTGAACTGACTTCTAGTGAAAGGAAATCTCTGCTGGAAAAACAGCTCCTGGACTCATTTCCAGTATCTGGTTCTCTAGTCTGACCAACCCATAACCTCTGCTTCCTTCTCTAGAATGCCTGGGACGCTCTCCTCCACCAAGCACCTGGTGACAGAAAGACCCTCCAGAAAGGAAGATGCTGGGCAGGTAATAGCATCAGAAGTCAGGACCTGATCTCCACCCCCAACATCCACCCCTCCACACCAGTTTTCTCTCTTGCTCTTTCTCTTTTGTTTTGTTTTTCGAGATAGTTTCTCTGTAGCTTTGGAGCCTGTATTGAAACTCTATGGACCAGGCTGGCCTTGAACTCACAGAGATCTGCCTGTCTCTGCCTCCAACTTCCACCCCAGTTCTGTAGCAGCAGGAATCCATCCTCTGGTCCTTCCAGGGGCAGCTTTCATTTAAGGCTAAAATCTACATGGAATTGGCTCTTCTGGAAATACTCCCCCAACCCACTCAATTCTCTGGCTTCACAGTGTTCCTATATCCTGGGGTTTCTGAGCTGGGGAAGATGTTGTGGCTGGGTGCCTCCCTCCACCTCCACTTCTACCACAGAAGGACACACCAATCCAGAAAAGTGTCTGGTTATACCACACAACCACCCAGGAGAGGAGAAGGGGCTTGATGAGTCCCACTAGAGGGCGTGTGTCCCTCAGCCACGTTCTGGGCCAGTCCAGGAAGAAGCAATGAACAGGAGCTCCGTCATGACAGGAGCACAGGGTGCAGCTGGGTGGTGAGCAGGGATAGGAAAAGGGGAGATGCTTCTTCAGGGGGAGGAGAGAGGGGAAGCAGAGCTGGGTAGAGGCAAAGCCAGCCTCCCCTTCTCAGCCACCCAGGGTGACCTGGTCCTACCTCTGGTCTTAAAACAGCCATGTGCTATGACAGCCTTGCTCAGAAGCTCAGGGTGCCCCTGCCCCCATCAACTCTATCTCTCATCACCATCTCCTCATGGTCTCTACAACCTACTCTCAGGAAACCTACCATCTGCATTTTGTTCCTTTGGGTTTAATTTGGTTTTTGCAGTGCCTGGGAATAGAATCTGAGACTTCACTCATACTAGGTAAAGCACACCACCACTGAACTTTAGCCCCAGCCCAGGAAGCCTACTGCTTACAAGAGCTGGCAGGACATATCTCCCGAGTTTCTTGTCCACCCATAGTCCACTTACATGGCAGGTAGTCAGTGAATGCCTGTCAGCTGAATAAACTTAAATAAACTCTTTTTACTGAGGACAGGGTCATTGGCAAATGATCCATCCCCCAGGGAAGGGCATAGACGGTTGGACAGAGATGTTTCCAGGTGGTAGGAGAGGCCAGCAGCTGTTACCTGTATCCTGTCTTCTGGCAGCTCTGTTTTCATGGCCAGCATCTCCCGGGCATAGACATCTGGGTAGTGGGCTTCATTGAATGCCTTCTCCAGCTCCTCTAGCTGGTAGGAGGTAAAGATTGTCCTAAGGGAGCAAGATCAGAACTCAGAACCCTGGAAACTTGGAGGAGCCTACCCTGGAGAAGGCTGGATTTCTCTCTCCTGTGCCTTGGTGACAATCATCTCCTCTCTCTCTCCATTTCCCCTCTCTCTCTCCCTCCCTCCCTCCCCCACCCCCTCCCCTGCTCACTAACACACACACAACACACACACACATCATGAACACACATTCACAGACATTGCTGACCCTCTAGCCTCTCTCCAGGGCAGAGGCTGCACATTATCCCGGTGGAGGGCATTACTTTAGCTTCAGTGACATTTCACTCAGAATCTTTCTAGAAACACTGGTGTGGGGGGAAGTGTGTTAAGAAGAAAATTCTAGAAGATTGAAAGTCAGTCTTCCTCCTTGAAAAGCCAAAGAGGAGGTCCCTCAAAGACTGAATGCAGCTTCACTTTCAGCCTTTGCCCAGTGAGAATGGGGACGCACGCACCTCTGACCCGTCCCCCTACCTCCATCCCTCCATCCTCTGCACCTGCCCTTTCTCTGTACCATCGAGACCCACCACACAGATTCAACTTCTCAGAGGTAAACGTGAGGATGTACTGATCCCCTCTCCTACCTCCCCCCCAATGGTTCCCACTGGGCCATTTAAAGAGATTATAAATCTTTAATCCCAGCACTAAGGAGACAGAAGCAGGGGGTGATCTGTGAGTTCAATGCCAGCCTGGTCTACATAGCCAGTAAGTTCCAGGGCAGCCTATGTAGAGAGACCCTGTCTCAAAAAACAAAACAAAACAACAAAAAGCTGACAAAAGCTACATTCCTTCACACATAACAAACCTCCAATATTAATGGGCTCATACCCTCCCCTTTAGAGTAAACTAGGAACCACCCACCTACAGATGCAAACTCTCCACGGGTTTTACATTGCTGCATTTGCCTGGCCTTTATCTTATACCCTCACAAAACAACAGGTCCAGTTTCTACAAACAGAACTTGTAAAAAGTGGCATGTCCCTTCTTGGCCCTCTGAGATTTGGACCCTGGAACCAGCACAGGGCTTAGTTGCAGACTATCTCTCTGTTGTGCCCTTCCCCTCCCCAGCGCAAAGAAGTGTACATATAACCCCATTTCTTGAGTTAATATGGACTTCAATATCCCCAGGGATATTATAATGGGTGTATGAGAGAGGAAGGCTGTGCTCTTTATAGAAAATGACTAGTTTGCTTTTAAATTATTTTATCCTCTTGATGGCAATATGTGGAATCCTATGTACATGAAAAGTTAATTCACAGACTGGGTGCGATGGTGATGCCTTTCTTCTAGCACAGAAGCAGAAGCAGGTAGGTTTCTGTGAGTTAGAGGCCAGTGTGGTATAATCAGGCTAGCCAGGACTACACAGTGAGACCCTATCTCAAAACAAAACAACAAGAAAGAGACAAGTTAATTCTTCAGGATTCTGAAGATCTGCAGTTCTCCATTTCTCTCTTTACTTGCTGGAGATCCCTTGAGTAGATCACCAAAATAAAATCAATTGAAATATGCAAGTCCCTTTTAAAACTAGGAAAACTTAGGGGCACAACTGGTGTGGCCTGGCCAAAGCCCAAGAAGGGAGCTGACTGTGGACCATTATTAAGAGCCTTTCTGTACTTGGAAGAGTTCCATTCAAGAAACAAAATTCTGGTGTGGTGGGGACTGCTCTGTGCTACTAGTCAGGATTACTTTGCAGGAAGAAAGACAAAAACAAACTAAAAACTAAGGAAGTAAGAAAGAAGGAAATACAGACAGAAGAGGGAGGGAGGGAGAGGAAGGGAGGGAGAGAGAGAGAGAGAGAGAGAGAGACTTTAAATTCCCCAAGCTTCCCCCAAGCTTCCCCCCTTACTACCTCAGAGCTGGTCTTTCAGGAAAGACCCTCCCCCCCACCCAGTGACCCCAAACTCTGCTCCTGGCTGAGGCAGAGCCGAGGATTTCTTGCAAGAGGATCTGTAGTTTTCCCAAGAACAAAATCCCAGAACCCTGCACCACTGCCCTTCACCCCAGCCAGGTCTACCTCCCAAGTCCTGCTGAAACTGGTTTGTTTCCTGAAGCCCAGCTCTCATCGCCCGATTCCAAGAACTCTTCCTCAAAATCGTCAAATGACTGTTTTGTTTTCTATAGATCCCACCATTTCCCCCGCATCTGTAGCCATTCTTCTTTCCAGTTATCTGCTACCTTCAAGCACCAGAAATAGAAAGAAACCCAGAGTAGCTAGCTCTCTGATACTGGTGAGCTGATATACCCGGCCACCAATCCACCAAAACCCAAAATGTTCCTCTATTAGAATGGTTGGAAATGAAGGGACTTGGAATTAAGGCAACCTTGCTTGTTTTTACATAGGCAGCTGAGTGAGGTACCCTTATACCTTCTCAGCATTTCCCAGAGCTTGGAGAATGCTCTTTCCAGCGTGCTCTAAGCCACCCCCAGGACAGGAGCAGGGTCCTCCCACCATGTTGACCGCATCCCAGAAGGGACACAGATGCATGGGTAATGCTTTAATATTTGTTGGATGATTTTTTAAATAAGATCAGTGGCTGGACTAATAAAAAAATACGTTTAAAATAAACTGGGCTGGCCAGATGGCTAAACATTAAGGTAAAGGCACTTGTAGCCCAACCTTAAAGACCTTAGAGAGTAGAATCCCTGGAACCACAAAAAGGTGAACAGAATTAACTCCACAAAGTTGTCCTCAGACCATCAGGTATGGTTCCATGGCCAACGCGAATTCCCTAACCCTCACCCCCATCACATGCACACGTAACACTAACAAACAGAAAATTTTAAAGGAATAAAACAAACTGAACTAAAGCCAGCCCGCTGCCTGTAGGGAATGAAATGAGGTTCTCCAACCCCTCGCAGAGACCCAAGCTGAAGTTCAGGAAAGAGAGTAACGACCCTTGGGGGTTGAGGAGACTAGGGAAATTCAGGACGCTGAGAAGCAGGGGACCAGGGTGGGAGGGACGAAGCACAGGCTAAGAGACAAGACCACAAGCCAGAGAGCTACACGCCCCCCCCCCCCGTGGCCTCCCCACTTGGGTCACGACAGAGAGAAACGTGAAGAAACTGGCCTTCCGGGGAGTGCAGGGACAGTACTGGGGACCGCACTCCCAGAACCTCAGTGTTTTGTGCCCCTCACCTTCCTTTGCTTAAAAAATCGCCTTAAGATTTCCACTAGGAACGAATTAGTGTTGACGCTGAAACGAACGTGAGTCTGACCCCCACCCTCACCCCGCCCTGGCCGGAGTGAAGGGAGGGAGCATACTTCTTAGAACAGACCCATTGAATTTTAGCGTTGGACACACAAAGTCTATTTAAAGACATTTTTTTCACATTACAAATATGCGTATGAGTCTGCTTATTAGTATGCACACATGGTGCCCCGGGAGGCCAGAAGAGTATCCCTGGAGCTGACCAACTCTCCTCAGTCTGTACACCAATGCATGCCATCCCGCTCCGGGCTCCGCGGGTGGAACCAGACAGACCACTCACGAAAGCATAAACGAGCAGAGGCCGAAAGCAAAGGTCCAGCCGAGCTGCTGTCACTGGACTTGGGTTGGGGGTGAAGGGATCGCAACAGAAAACTGGACCAGACAGGGGCAGTGTAAGAGGATCGGGGCGCCCAGGGCCCAGGTAGCACGGATCTGGCTCCTGCGGGACGTGGGAGTCTATCAGCTCTCCACTGACTCTGTGGCTCTTGGACCCGGTCCGTGCAGGGATCTGGAGCCGCCAACGCCTCTCCAGCTAGGTCTGGCCCCAGCTGGTCTTTCCTTTCTCAAGCACAAGGAGAAAACCCGAAATGGTGTGGCTGCCCAGGCTGATAGTCACCCTTACCGGGTGCTGGGACCCCAGGGCAGGTTCCAGCAAACCACGCAGGTGTCTTTGCCCCGGTGCAGCCCAGGGCCCTCACATCTGCGATCCGCAGAGAACAAAATCTGGATGAACCGACCCGGGAGAAGGAAGCTGGGGATGGGGGCGGGAAAGAAATGTGCGGCCCTTACCTGTGTCGCCGCTTCTTGCGTTTCTTGGTCTGGTTTAAAGCCGATTTGGACAATTTTCGGTCACTGGAGGAGACATCTTCGGAATCTGAAAAGCGGGCGGAGAGGCAGGAGGCGGAATGGGAGTGCGCTCCGCAGAGCGGCAGAAAACGGTGAGCCTCGGGAGCCGCGCGGGCCTGTGGTCTCCACCAAGCCCTTCCCGGCCTGGACGACCGGCCCCATCCCTAAGCCCAGGCTGGCCCTCCCCGGGTCTGTCCACTTCTGAAACCCGAGCTTTTGAACACATTTCGTTGCAAGAAAGGCAAAGGCCCAGGGGCTCTGGCAGGCAGGGGCGAAGGAGAGTGAGGCAGGCACTGAGGTTTCAGGGGCCCGGGTTGCTGCTCTCAACCCCTAGCTCTGCCCTGTGGCAACAGCTATGCCCAGGTCCCAGGTCGAAAAGTTGACCTAAGGAATGGAGACTTGTTGGTGGAGCTGGGGCGCTGGAAAGATCTGGGGACTGCGGGTTCGCTGTCTTTTTTGGTGGCACCCACAAGATGTTTTTCTGTGGGAGTGCGGAGAGCCTGCGATGAGCCACTTTTCGTTGTCCTTCTATATTTAATACATAATAAACAATGACACAAAAAATCAGGGAAATTATCGAGAGCCGGCGAGCTAGAACACACCACCAGCCAAGTGGCCCTAAAAGGGCGAAAGGAAACTCATCCAGGGTCCCTGATCCAGAGAAAAATCGGAATCCAATACAGGGTGCCATGGTGACTTTATTTTCCCAGTTCGTAGGGAAAGGAAATCGGACCTCAGCGAGCGAAGCGGGGCTTTGGGAAGGAGAAGAGGGGAGGAAAGGGGAACAACTTTGGACACAGGGTTAAGCGCCACGGCCGGTCCCTCTTTCCTGTCCCACTAGCGCTCCGTGGGCTTCAGGCTCCGGTCCTGCCTAAGGCCCGGGCCATAGGGAACAGCAGAGCTGGGGTCCTCCAGCTAGCTCCCTGGGAGATGATGCGGCAAGGGCTCAACCACCCCGAGCCCTGCATCCAGTGGGGCCCTAATCCAGAGATGCGATCGAGCGGGGCCAGACACTAGTCCACAGGAACTGAGCAGGGGTCGGACAAGCTGAACCTGAAACCCCTGAGCCCCGGCCGATGGCCGGACCCTCTGATTCTAGGCCTGGACTCAGATTTGTTGGCCTGCACGAACTTTTCCTCCCGAGGGAGGTCGCGGCCCGCAGGCGAGAGCCAACGGCTCCAGGCTGCGGCTCTCCCAAGCAGTGTGGCAGGCTAGCAGCCTCGCCCTCACCTACCCGAGCTGGCCGTCTGGCTGGTGTCCAGTGGCCCCGACGCTCTGCCTAGAGGTTGCAAGTGGACGCTCTGCGGATCGGACAGCACTTCCAGGAAGGTGGGCTGCGCGTAGAAGCCGGGAAGCCCCCCGGGTCCCAGCAGCCCCATGCCGCCCACTCCTGCCGGGCTGAGTACCGAACGCGCAGCCAGCAAGTGCCCGGGGGCCAGGCCGTCGAGGGCAGCCCGTGGGTGGGAGCTGGGAGGCTCCTTGTTTAAGCCTAGGATCTCTTGGATGCCGAACCCTGTGCACCTGGCCGGGGCGCCCCCCGAGGTACTCTTGGCCACTGTCTCGGATTTGGGCTTGCTCAGCGTTTCCCCTGCTTTCCCCGTCATCTCCCGGTTCTTTGGAGGGGCTGAGGCCGCGGGTCTTTTGCTCCCCCAACCCCCCCGCCGGGCTCCCCGCTTCGCGAAGTTGGTCCCAGGTGCCCCCTCCGGTGTCTAATGCTCTGGAGCCCCAAGGAGATTCCCTTTTTATCCAACCAGGCGGCTGCCCAAGTGGGGTCAGAGCTGAACAGCCAATCACCGGGGCCAGGAGCGATTAGGAATTCCAAAAAGCTGGCAGCTCCCGCCGCCACCGGCACCCAGGGGCCAGGGCGCTGCAGGCCCAAGCGTGGTGGGCTTTGCAGGGTGCTCTTGGGCAGGGGTTCGGGGGGACGGGGGTGAAACAGCTAGGTTTGAGGTTGTTTCAGGAGGCACATTGGATAGGGGCTTTGAGTTGTATAACCTGCCTGGGACCAGTCCCGAGGGTAGGGTAGCGGAGACAGAACCCCTGGTATGGGGTTGGGGGGTGGGGGCGTTGGGATGGGCTGCAGGCAGACTAGAGGCTAGGAAACCTCTTCCCTCCCTTAACTCAGCAAACTCAAATACGGGACAAGGAAGGCTAAGGGCCCTGGACTGTGTGGTGAGAATGGGGATGCAGGAATTGACTTAAGCGTGGAGAGGGAGAAGTGTGGGTAGCGGGGCTTGTCTCCCCAGCTCAGAAGACCTGCTCAATAAATACTGGGCCACCTTAGAGGATGAGGGACAGGACCAGGCCCTGGTGGGAAAATGGGACCGCTAGGATTTTCTTAAGCTATGATTTTCTTTGACAACAAATATGAGGGCTTCCTCCCTTCCCTTTTCGCCCTAGCCTGTCCTCTTTGCCTTACTTTTCTTCCTGGTTTTTAAAGACAGACCCTCTCTTTTTAGATAAAGTTGTTCTGAACTCATTATTTTGCATTATCTGGGATTTTATCTGGGACTAATTTGACCAACCAACTATGTATTTCTGAAGCTCTTCATAGAGTGCCCGGCTTCACTCAGAGCTTGCATTTATTCTGTCTTCCAGCAGCTTTGAGTCAGAAGCCTGGAGTTCTGCCTCACACCAGGTAGGTAAAAGTAGGGGGCCTTCTGGCCTTCGGAGCTCACAGCTAAGCTGGGATTGCCCACGTAGAGGAAGAGGGGGGAGTAGGAGGTAATAAGAGTGAGCGCTTCCCCCTTACGTGGCGCCCTTTGACCTCCTTCTCCGTTAGCTACAGTGGTACCAGCTGAACCGTAGAGAGGTGTAGGGACACCGCTCCAGGCAGGCTGGGAGTTTTACCTGCAGGTGCCAGGGGTTCCTGAGTTGGAGGCGGGGCTATTGGTTTCTCATATAGCTTGGCTTCAATTCTCAGATCAGAGCCTGGCCCAAGAATCACTGGCCAAATTGAACAGAGACCCTCTAGGTAGTGCCTCTGTCTCCCTCCAGAACTGGAAACCATCTTACTCATTTTGGGATTCCCCTGACCACTCTACAGAACATATGATGACTTTTAATAAACGTTTCTTTGACTCAAAGACTCCCCCAGAAGGAAGGTAAAGACAGAGTCAGCTGCTTTGGGCAAAAATTGGAAAATCAGATGGGCAGGGAATTTCATTCAGAAAGTTTTGGCTTGTTAGCCATGAACCTCCAAAGACCATGAACTCTCAAGCCATCCTCTGTGGGCTGCGGCCTCGATGGGGCCAGATTGAGAGGTTGGACACTCTGTGAAGGGTGTGGAAATTAGGCTTTGTTAAGCCGGGTATGGCAGTACCCACTAATGTGTGAGCACCTGGGAGGTGGAGCTAGGAGGAACAGAGCTCAAGATCATCTTCAGCTACACAGTGAGTTCAAGGCCATCCTGGACTACCTAAAACTCTGTTCTCAAAAACAAACAAAATAGGAGCTGAGGATATGGCTCAGTTGGTAAAAAGCTTGCTGTGCAAGTATGAAGATCTGAGTTCAATCCTCAGTTCCCTGATTTAAAAAAAAAAAAAAAAACAAAAAAAAACTGGGCATGGTGGCCCATGGTTGTAATCCCAGTACTGGGAAGACAGGCAGGCAGGCAGCTCTCTAGCCCTTGCTGGTGCTAGTCAGCTGTGATGGTCATGATAATCATCCATTTGACAGAATCTAGAATCACCTGGGACATAGGTCTCTAAGCATGTCTATGGAGGATTATCTTTTAAAAAGCATTATCTGTGTGTATGTGTTTGTTTTTATTTAAGCGTATCTGTGTAGGGGTGTGCCATATATGAGTTCAGATGCCCCTGGAGGCCAGAAGACTGCATCAGATTCCCTGAAGTTGGAGTTGGAGGCAGTCCTGAGCTGCCTGATGTGGGTGCTGGGAACCACATTCAGGTTATCTGTAATCTGTAATAGCAGCATGCACTCTTTTGTGTGTGTATGTGTGTAGTTTTTCAAGACAGGGTTTCTCTGTGTAACAGCCTTACCTGTTCTGGAATTTGCTCTTTAGACCAGGTCGGCCTTGAACTCATAGAGATCCACTAGCCTGTCTCCTGAGTGCTAGGATTGAAGGTGTATACCACCACACCAGGCTGGGAGCTACCACTCTTAGCTGGTGAGCCATATCTTCAAGTCTCCGATCCCTGGAAAATTATCTTGTTTGCATTCATTGTGGTGGAAAGACAGACCCTCTTACTTTGAGAGGTACCATATGCTGGCTGGGGTCCTGGACTCTAAGTAAGGAAGCTGGAGAGATGGCAGAGCAGTTAAAAATGTACTTACCATTCTTCCAGAGGACTTGGGTTTCATTCCCAGCACCCACATGGTGGCTCACAACTGTCTGTAATTCCAGTTCTAGAGGATCCAACACTCTCTTCTGGCCCCCTTGGGTGCTGACATACAAGTAGGCAAAAGCCACATACATATAAAAAAAAAAAAAAGTAAAAAGGTGAGGAGCTAAGCAGCAATGCAAACTCATCAATCTCCAGTCCCCGATTTTAGATTCAATATGAACAGATGCTTCAAGCTCCTCTGGCCTTGAATTCCCTGCAAAGATAGACCAAAGATAGAGCCAGAATAAACTCTTTCTGTATTAAGTTGCTTTTGTCAGAGTATTTATCCCAACAATGGGAAAAGAAGCAAGACTTCCTGGCTAGCCTGATCAGTGACCCCCTAGGTCTCAGGGAGAGACCCTGTCTAAAAGAAACTCAGGGTGTCTAGAGAATGAACACTCTAGGTTCATCCTTTGTTCTCTAAGTACATGTGCACTCACATGCATGCACATTTGCACAGGCATGAAAAATGCACAAGTGAATTCATGCACATACAAAAAAGAAACAAAATACAGCTTGGCCTTACTAACAGTATTGCTGTGAGGTGTGTCTCCTTCTTCCCACCACTCCCCTGTGGCACACAGGAGCTAGGATTAGGTAGGGGCATCTCACTAGCAGAAGGCATCTGGGAGATGTATGTCAGTCACTCCAAGGGCATTATATTACAGCCATTATGTTGTCATGTCCACTATGCAAAACCATCTTCCCGGTCCTTACTATATCCCTATTGGGGGTGTATTTTGGTTTTAGTTTTGGTTTTATGGAAGACTTTATTACTGTTTTGAGGCTCTTGTGAGATGGAGCTCATGCCTCTAATTCCTCTCCATACCCAAGGTTGGCCTTGAACTCTTGACTTTCCTGCCTCCGTCTCTCAAGTTCTGGAGTCAAGTGTATCTCCCCAAACACCTGGCTTACCACATGTGGAAGTTGGCTTAACAGGGATCAGCAATGTCAAAGTATCTTCACCTTCCATTCATGGAGTTGGGTTCTAAGTAGGACCTCCTACCTAACACTGTGAACAGAGCTCCTGGGCTATGCTAAGTGTTGTCTGTGCTAGCCTGAAGGGGAAGGGATTGCTACCTCCTTTCTATGAAGACAGAAACTTGGGTTCCCCAAGACTTTAGCTAATGAGAGAGCTGCAAAGGCCAAACTTAGCCTCCAACATCTACAGTAAGAAACTATTCTCTCTAGCCTCTAACCCTAGTACTCAGCAGGCAGAGGAAGGCATATTTCTGAGTTCGAGGCTATCCTGGTCTACAAAGTGAGTTCCAAGACAGCTAGAGCTGTTACACAGAGATACTCTGTCTTGAAAAAACAATTTTAAAAAATCTGTTCTCTCTTGACCCTGTACCTCTCCAGGCCTCCTCTCTATGCTCTGGAAGGATAGATGGAAATGTTATGTTAATAGCATCTGTCATATCTCTAACTTATCATGAGACAGTGGCGCTGAGCCAGATGCCAGCCAATGGGCAAGGACATGAGTGATGAAGAGAGAGTGAGTGATGAAGTTGGCTCTTGCCAGGAGATGAGGATGAAAAATCTCTTGACCAGTCCCTATTTCTGAAGCTGCAAGTTCCCAGTCCTAAAACAACAGTGACCACTGTGCCCCAGGAGGTTACAAGCAGGGGTAGTAGCCTCTGATTGTCTAAGAAATGCCTTTGCCAGAGGCTTCAGGTGGAGGGATGGACCAGTGTCTTCCAGTAGCAGAAGATACCCTGGGAATGGGACCCTCAATTGATTTTAGGGTCCAGAGTAAGGAGGGCTTGCTTTGATGGTTACTGGCCTACAGCTGCCAGCTGGGCATAGTTGTGCAGGTCTGTAATCCCAGAATTTAGGAGGCAGAGGTAGGAAGATTACAAATTCAAGGTTATTTGTGGCTACACAGCAAGTTTGAGGCCAGTCTGTGCCATATGAGACCCAGTTTCAACCCCTGCACCTAGAAGGTCATTTGTGAGGGTCTGGGGCTATCTATAGAGAAAGATTCTCCCCTAAGCTTGGGTTAGGTCTTGGGAGAAGTAAACTGTGTCCTATCAGAGACATTTAATCTGATCACAGTGGGTTCAAATCCTGGTTCTGCTTACATCAAGTCATTTAAATTTCCCCCTCAGCTTTAGTAGATTTACTTGAAAGCAACCTGTGTCAGAGTTGTAGTGAGGCATGGGGACAGGCCTGTAATCTCAGTACTTGAGAAACAGATGCAAGAGGATTGCTACAAGTTCAAGGTCAGTTTGGGCTACAGCGTAGGAATCTGCCTCAAG